CCTTTTGCCTCTTTTAGCCCCTCCGTAGCCTTTTGCCTCTTTTAGCCTCTCCGTAGCCTTTTGCCTCTTTTAGCCCCTCCGTAGCCTTTGCCTCTTTTAGCCTCTCCGTAACCTTTTGCCTCTTTTAGTCCCTGGGGAGCCTTTTGCTTCTTGCCTCTCGGTTGCCTTTTGCCTCTTAGTCCCTCCATAGCCTTTTGCCCCTTTAGCTTTTTTTTTAAGCTTCTGACTAACGTCCAAGATTTTTTTTTTCCAATCCCGACGGTGAAACCTCAGAAACGTGAAGTTTGTTTCTGTTGACGCCACACATCTCAACTGGATTTCCTTGTAAACAAGTTTTAGTTGTTGTTTAGTAAATTAATGAAACCAAGCTGAAAAAAGTTTGTAGGAACAAAACAACGGACCTCTTTGAGGGACCAAATCTGGGCCAAGCTCCTGCAAGAACCAACAACATGCGTCAGAAACCCGAGGACGGGACCACCTGGAACAAGGAACGGGTTCGTTAAATTTACCTCGTCGTCCGGACATCGTCTCACCTGCCGGCCGGACCTCAACCTGCCGCTGTTGCTAAGGAGCCACAAGTCCTTAGCAACCACACCTGAGGACTCCTTGAAACTGGAGCCGGGTCGGTTAGAGCCGCCCGTCTGACAGACTCAAGGATGTTGAACGTGATACGAACGGGTCAGCTGATGAAGCCTGTCAGTCGGATTAAAGAGACATTTCTACAAATTTAACATCAGGAGAAGGTTTTGAAATAAATGTATAAGTTTCTTTTTTTTTCTTGAAAACAAAAAGAATCAAGGAAATCACAGAATCCCATAAAACTGTTTATTTAAGTTTAGAAACAGGAATGTGACGATCTCTAGCAGCTCACGCTGCACTCCGAGGTTTATTCTTTTTTTTTTTTTTGCACGTCGAAACATTTACAATCATCAAAAACAGCTGAAACATGAAGGACACGGACTGTAACCAGAATAAACCCCCGACATCCATTTTGATCAGTTTACAAAGCGATAAGCATTAACGAAGGTGACGTTAAGTGTTCAGGAGGCAGAAAGGTCATGAAACAGGAACGCTGAAGCTGAAGTTTCGGCGTCTCTTCGATAAGAGGAAACGTCAAGCGGCTCGTTGGCGACACCGACTGGCAGAAAGACGGGACTGAATTATCTCGACAGAAACGAAACCGCCTTTAGTTTGGTTTATTTTGAACGTTCGGACCGAAACAGCCTGAAGTCAAAAAACAAAACGAGTCTTATAATAAAACTAACGGATCAGCCGTTCGCTCGTTTTACAGAGAAAGCGTCCGTTTCATTTGGCGTCGGCCACAATCTGGGCGATCATGTCCCGGGCGTCCTGAACGCCCGAGCTCAGCTCCGCCTCGCCCGGCTTCGCGTGCGTCCCGATCAGGAGGAGCATCCGGTCCCCGACCTCGGACAGAGCCAGGTCGCCGAACAGGTCCGCGATGCTGCAGGAGCCCGGGAGGTCCTGAAATCAAACCAAAGAACACCTAGGTCCAGATGAAACTCCACACCCTCGCTTTGATGCGTTTTTTTGTTGTTCAGACGCTGAATCTTATTTTGATCATTCTTTAAATTTTTTTTTTTTTTAAGTTCCTTCTGTGGCGCTGAGAATCAGAACAACAACAAAGGAACAGAACTCCTCTAAACTAATGGTTCCCAACCCTGGTCCTTGAGGAACACCACCCTGCATGTTTTAGTCGTTTCCCTGTCTCAACACGCCTGATTTAAATGAACAGGTGATTAACAGGCTTCTGCAGAACATGAGGATGTAACTGTGTCAGAGCAGGAAAACAACTAAAACATACAGGATGGTGTTCCTCAGGGACCACGGTTGGGAACCACTTTGTTAGGGAAGGTCTCAGCTACTACCAAACCAAGCTTTAGCTGAATACTTGCAAAACCGACTGAGTTGTTGCCATTTTTACGTTGGCTAATGCTAACTAGCTGAGGCAGCCATCTTGAATTGGATTAACTCAAAAACTTTCAGGCGTAGATGCTCAACAAACGACTTTCTAAATGTTCCATTAAAATCCATCGGGTGGTTCAAGAGATATTTTGCTAACAGAGAGTTGACCCAAAGCACGTGTTGGGACAACTCTCAGCTACTACCACACCTGATTTTAGCTCAACATCTGTCCAACTGACTGATGTGTGGTGTTTTTCTGTGCCCTCTGAGGTCAGCTGGCTGTGGCAGCCATGTTGAATTTACTTTTTTTTTTTTTACTTGTTTATTTTGGTGACGGACAATAAAAGTTTACTCAATATTTGCTTTAAGACCATCGTGTGCTTAACATCCAACTAAAACTCTGCACACGAGGCTTTTTCCAAAATAAAACCAGAAGATTATGGACTTTAACTGGTCCGTTTAGTTTTTAAAACGGTTTAATTGTGTCAGTTACAACTGCACCTTAAAAATGTACAAATATATAAATTAGAGTTCAAACTCTCCATCTTTGACGAGGGAAAAAACTTTATTGGAATCTTTCCAAACGGACAGTACAAAGTAGACGGTTGTTTTGTTGATTTACCTGTTTGTTGGCCAGCAACATGATGGGCAGGCAGGGGTCAAAGGTCAGCAGCTCGTGCAGGTGTTCCTTGGCCTCTGGGAAACGCTTCGGGTCGGAGGAGTCGACCACGAAGACCAGCAGCAGAGCTTTGGACACGTACCTCCTCCAGTACGGACGCAGGTCCCCCCCACCTCCGACTGAAACATCAGAGCGATTAGAGACCGTCGCCAAAGACGTTGCGGATCAAACGAAAACGATTTGGCTCGTTTCAGCGTTTCTCAGAGCTTCAGCTGATGTTTACAACTCACTTTCTAGAAACTCGACGCGCAGGTCGTCTCTGCCGAAGGAGACGGCGTTGAAGCCCCGCGTCGGAGCCACGTCCCGCTCTGGGACACCGCCGGAGAAACAGCGCAGCAGGCTCGTTTTACCGGATCCATCCAGACCCAGAACCAGAACCTGAGTCCTCTCTGACTCCGTGGGACCCGGCTGGAAACAGAAGTTTACCATCAGGACCAGTACTCTGGTCTCCTGAAGTCACTGTGGGAGAGGAGGGGACACCCTGGACAGGTCCCACGTCCACCACAGGGACACACGGAGACAAACACTCAGTCATTAGCTTCTTTTAGCATTTAGTTGGCATAAATGTAGCTTTTAATTACCGTGGATCAATCACTTAGACTTTAGCTACTTTTAGCTTCCAGCTAGCCTTTTACTACATTTAATAATGGCTAGAATTTTACTACTTTTCGCTTCTAGCTGTCCTATAGCTGTTTTAATTTAACGTTTAGCTTCTTTTAGCATTTAGCTAGCATTAATTTAGCTTTTAATTAGAGCTCTTAATCACCTAAGATTTAGATAGCATTTAGCTACTTTTAGCTTCTGACTAGCCTTTTGTTATTTTTAGCTTCTAGCTGATGTGTTGTTACAAAATGTTTTGCTTTTATTTAGCATTTAGTTAGCTTTTAATTAGGTTTTAGTCCAAGCTAGCTTTTTGCTGCATTAGTTTTTAAACAGTGTTTTGTTACCTTTAGCTTTCAGCTAATCATTCGCTACATTAAACTTCTTGCTACAGTTAGCGTTTAGCTAACCATAATTATTACTATTACCTTTAAAACGGCGTTTAGCTTAGCTTCGAGACGATTTGTTGCTAACTTCTCCCAACAGGTCTCTTTTGAAAATGAGTTCTCGTGGCTCAATGAGACTACCTGGATAAATAAAGGGTAAAAAAAATAAAAATAAAAACATTGCTTCTTACTGCGTTTAGTTAGCTTAACTAGCTTTTAAAAGGGCTTTGTTACTTTCATCATTTCAGCTAGTCTTTAGCTAATTTTTGCATCTAGCTAGCATTTTGATACTTTTAGGTAGTCTTTAGCTACTTTTATTTTCTAACTAGACTTTTTCCAATATTATCAAGTTTAATGCTACTTTACCTTTTAACTAATGTTTTACTTCCTTTTGCTTCTAGCTGACCTTTAGTTACTTTTAGCTACTAGTTTGGATTTTGATATTCTTAGTTAGCCTTTAGCTACTTTTTGCTTGTGGCTGAACTTTTGCTACTTTCAGCTAGCTTTTTGCAACTATAGGTTTTATTTAGTTTTACTAGTTCTTTCTTCTAGTTAGCCTTTTGCTACATTAGGTGTTAGCTGGTGTTTAGCTCCATTTAGCTGTTTTAAGTCAGTTTTAGCTTCTTCAGCGTTCACATTTTCACTTTCTGTATTTTATTAAAATTTTTATTTTCGCTCCAGTTCTCTGAAACAGAGTTCAGTGTTGTTTCAGCTCGGCAGTTGGTTTTTATTTGCACTTGTTTTAAGCTTTTATGAAACTCCGATTTGTCCCAGGTGCTCTAAGCCACGCCCACTCGCACCTGCTCCCCGTCTCACTTCGCTCAGCTGTTTCTCATCTTGCCATTCTTTCCTTCTGCTGTCTTCGTAAAACTATTTTACATAAAATTATGTTTAAATATTTCAAATTACCTAAAAATGCATTTTCTGCCTCCAAATTGCCAAACAACTTTTTTTTTAATGTTCTACACAAAATTTATCTTAAAGCAAAACTAAGAACTTTTAAAAGACGGTTATGAACTGTGTTTGGATTAGTTTCTGACCTGAGATTAACTAGTTAATGTAATCTGAAAACTAGACTGGACGGATAATGAGTTTAATCTGGTAGGAAACTCGAATTAATAATCGCCTACATTTCCCAGAATGCATCACGGACTAACTGCAGGAAAACGTGCCCGAACGTGCTGTGGAAGTTCCAATACACGCATTTACTAAGAGTAAAGTTGGATAATAGTTCGTGTAAACAAATAATCTTTGTTGTGGTGGTTAATTTAAACTTTAAACTTTTATTAAACCGCCATGTTCGTAGAATCAACTTTACCGCGGCTGTTTTCGGAGCTTCGACCGGAGCTACGACGGCTTCTTCAACCGGAGCCGCCTTATGTCGTTCCTCCTCCTGCTTCTCTTCTCCGCCGGCATTATCGCCTGCTCCGCCGGCTTTTCTCGGCCGTGTGTCGGGCTTTTCCTGCCGAGGGGCGGCAACGTGGTTCCAGATAGCGTAAGCTACTCCCCCGGCAAGAACCGCGGAGACGCCGAGAACTCCGGCGTCTTTGAGACTGAACATGGCTCTAATAAGGCGGCTTAGCTGCTGTGTTTGGGCGCCGTTTACCCGTCTGGATGAAATGTTTTATTCATTATTATTATTATTATTAGGGTTCAGATGAAGAGTTGGGCTCCCACGTCTGTTTGGCCTCCTCCTCTTCCTCAACAAGTGGATTAAAGTCACAGGAAGCGCCTGGGATGAACTTCTACATCCGGACAACGCGCGCCACAGTGTTGATGCAGTTTCAACATAGAACCACAAGATGGCGACAAAGATTCTAACAAATCAGGGTTGCCAGGAAAGAGATGACGAAATATCGTACTTTTGCCTTAAAAATATCAGATTTTGCCCCAAACTGTTGTATGTGTGCTAGGTGAGGATGCAACTTCCAGGTCAGCAAAGGGCAGAGAGTTCAGGAGAAAAACACCAGTGTTTTTGCTGAACAAAAACGTAAAAACTTACATTTCACTGTGTGTTGCATAGACCCGACAACTATCTTATGTCTGGCAACAAAGTGCGCCACAGTTTTGATGCAGTTTCAAGATATGACCACAAGGTGGCGCCAAACAGCCGGGTTGCCAGGAACGAGAGATCGTAATTTTCATTCAACCTTGATTTATACAGGTTAATCCCATTGAGTCTCTGGGTAATGCAGCTTTAAAATTATTCAAAAAAAAGTTCAAGACAAAAACAAATTTAAAATAATCCGATTTTTTTCCTCAAACTTTTGTATCTGTGCTAGGTGAGTGTGCAATTTCCAGGTCAACAAGGGGCAGAGAGTTCATGTGAACAAAACCAGTGATTTTTAATTTTTTTTTTTAGAACAAAAATGTCAAAACTTAATATTTAATTTTTATTTAAAAAAAAAAACTTTGTGTTGCATGGACGCAACAATGATCACATCTGGCAACAAAGTGCGCCACATTTGGTGCTGTTTCAACATTTGACCACTAGATGGCGCCAAAGGAAATAAATGCCCGCCATAATTCCTCATAGATGTTTATTACCACACGCGGACGAAAGGCCGGGGCGGGCGATAATGTTTGTACCTGTGTGTCTGTAGCATTAGCAAAATATCTTAAAACCACTGGATGGATTTTTAAGTAACAAACAATGAACGTTACAACTTTGGTCAGCTAACTAAAGATGGCCGCCACAGCTAACTGAGCTTGTGCTTTTATCGATTTAAATTAAAGATTCTTAACAGACGAGTTAGAATTTATTTATTTATCAACTTAAATATTCTCGTGAAATCCGGTTAAATGTTTTTAAAGCAAAAAATTAAAGAGGGATGTCCTCCTGGTCCCTCAGGTCCTGGACTGTCCCTCAGGTCTTGGACTGTCCCTCGGGTCTTGGACTGTCCCTCGGGTCTTGGACTGTCCCTCGGGTCTTGGGACTGTCCCTCAGGTGGGTTCGTCCTCTTCAGCGGGACTCCTTCTGTCCCCTCAGGAGTGCTCAGGAGCCAGCGCTGGACGGAGCTCCTCTCCTCCGTCACCACCAGGGTCTTCTGGGTCCGAGCCCTCAGAGAGACGGGCCTCTTCCTCTGTGAAGGTCCAACTTCCTGGACCTGCTGGACGTCCAAGGAGGACAAGTCCACCACCTCCAGTTTACGATATCTCCTGGACCTGGAGGCCTCCTGGAAGTTACCGTAGCTCCTCTGCTTGATGGAGGACAGGAGCCTGGCTCTGCTGCTGGACTCTTCGTCCTTCTCGTCTCCAGCTCCAGCCTTCTTGTCCTCGCTGGTCTCTGAGGGGACGGTTGTCTCCTGGGACATGCAGTCCATCAGGCGGGAGCTGAAGTCCCGGTGGGCCATGGAGACACTGCAGCCCACGGTGACCTTCAGCTTCTCGTAGTGGTCCTGGACGCTGCTCAGCTCGTCCAGGAGGTTCGAGGATATGAGGTCCTGGACCCCCTGGTCTCTGCTCAGGTAGACCTCCTCAGTCTGGTGTCCCCGCTTCTTCTGGAAGGTCAGAACTTGAGGCATGGCCGTGAAGTGGAAGGCCTTGTCCGCCAGGAGCTTCTGGAAGATGTAGAGCACATCATGATGCTCCCCGTTCACAGAGTTCCTGAGAAAGTCCTGGACGTGGACCCAGTCCTTCAGAGCCAGCCGGATCTGCACAGGAGGACATGTCCTCTGGGTGTGGTAGAAACCGAACATCAGGTACAGACCCCCCACCCGGACCTGGTAGCTGTTGGGGGGGAGGAAGAACCTGACGGCGGTGGACATGCAGATCCTGGAGAACCTCTTCAGGTCTCCACTGCTGAGACCCAGGAAGACCTCCGAGAAGCTCCTGTCCCTCCACAGGGACGAGAACTCCTGGAACCTGACCGACTCCGTCTGCTGGAACCGGGCCAGCAGCTCCTCCACGTCCTCGGTCAGAGGACCGTAGAAGGACCCAGAGTAAACCGACGGACCTTTAGGCATGGTGAGCACGGAGGAGACGCGCGCGAGCACCTGCTTTTTATGACCAGGGCGGTGAAGTTCGCTTCCGATTCCAGCCGCTGATTCTCGGCCCGGTAAAGGGAAATTCCGAACTTTTTTGTGTCGTGCTTGAGGCCTAACAAGCGACACGTTGTAGAGCACCTCAAACTCATTTATTAATCTTATTATTAATAAATGATTTATGATTTATTATCTAAATCCATAAACTCAATTCTTTTTTTACACGTCAGGTTGTCGAGTCTACCGACAGTCAACACTTCCTGTTGAACCTTTCACAATAAAACAAGTAACAGATTTTACCACAGAGTGGACCAACTGTTAAAAATTAACTTGTTGAACTTTATCAGTGCAATTCAGTTTATTTATATAGCACCATGAGAACAGGTTTGTCGTGAAACCACATAAACACTGAAGTTTAGGTCTGAATTGTTGAAGAATTGCAGTTTTTTTAAGTGGGACGAGTCCATGTTTGATTAGTTTTTAAACTGGAACAGTAAATAAAAGTTCAACGGACTAGTCCTTTACACCACTAATGCGCATGCTCAGTCGGTGATTTACATGCATCGTGATCCAGATAAACTATATCTACTTCCGCTCCTTTAATGTGTAATCTATTTTTATTTATCTTTTGTGTATATTCATAACTATCAATGACTATAACCTCCTTAAAGACAAAAAAGTGATTAAAGAATGATTTTTCATATTTGCCTTTTAAAGTTTTGTACTGCGTCTTTAGCAGATACCGGAAGTAGCTATGAATTATATTTTAGCAAGGCGCTAATGACTTCACGCATGCGCATTGATCTTTATTTTTAAAAGACTAATTCAAAGACGAACTTCTTCGTCATAGTAGCACACGTGCAGCTCGTTAGCGGCAGAGCGAAGAAACGATCAAATATTAACGATAAAAACTGTTTAATCAATAACATAATTGTTCAAAAATGCTATAGTCATTAAAATTGAGATATTTCCACTTATTTGACTTGATTTAACAATAAAAGTAAACCCCGAGTCAAGGTTCAGTCATGGTGTGTTCAGTGACCCCCTAAAATGTATATTAACTAAAATATTTAATATTTTACATATAAAAGACACGTTTGACAAAAAACCTGAATCAGAGGAAATCAAATATGAGAAAAGTGTTTTAGAACTTTTAAAATTAAATTAGAGAGAGAGATACAAGATTCAAGCTATGTGAAGTTTCACACTCCTAATCAAATATCTTATAATAAACAGATTAAAGGTTGTGTGGTAAAAATCAAAAACTGCCGGAGACGTTTTACTGTTCAGAGTTTTATTAAGACGTTTGTTTTATCAGAACAATGAAAAAAAAAGTCTTAAATCCTAAAGAGCAGTCTTCTAAAATTGAGATATTTAAAATATATCGAGCATTATTTATGAAAAAGTTTAAAACAAAAGGACCACAGATTTATCCGATGTGATTCTAAAGATTAAACTTTTAATTTCATACATTTAAAGTTCATTCTGACACGTTTCTGTCGTTTACTGAAGCTGGAAAACGTTCGGAGGAAGAAAAATACTCGGAACAGGAGAGAAACTGTTTAGATCATTTCTGTTTGAGGACACAAATATTTAACAAAATAAAAGCACTGGAACCGTCCTTTAAAGATTTTACCTGCAATTTTATTTTGTAACTTTTACAAAAAGGATTTATAGTCGAAGAAAACGAAAAGTTTGGTTTCGTGTCTAAATTAAAAGTCTGAACAGAAAAAAGCTCCGCCCTCAGACTCCTCCTTGCTGCTACCAGCCTCCTTTTCCTCCCTTTTTCTTCTTCTGTGGTGCTTTCTTGCGGCCGGCTCCTGACGCCGAGGGTTTCTGTTGTCGTGGAGGGACTACACCGCTGCCGCCGGGCGCCGCAGACGAGCCGGACGCAGACCCTGGCCTCGGGGACGTGGGGGGGCTGCTGGCCGTCTTACTGGCGTCCCTGAAAAAGACAGAAGGACGTCAGAAAGTCGGGATTCAAAAACAAGATGGCCGACGTTCACGTCTCTGTGGGCGAGGCGGCGGTCCACTCACAGCTCAGCCGAAGCTCCTGCTGTCGCTCCCTGCGTTCCCTTCCCGATCTGATCCTTCTTCTTGCCCTTCTTCTTGCCTCGGTAGTACGAGCGCTCCCTCATGGGGAGCCACCGCTCGGGGTCAGGGGTCACTTTGGGGTCGTAGTTCTTCGGCAGTTTTCCTAAAAAGCACATTTCATAAAAAAAACAGTTGCTTAAAAGCAATTGCTGGTAGAGAAATATGTCTGAGCCAACTGGCAGATTATTTCTTAAAGACTGCTCTCACGTTAAACGTGCTGTTGAGCTGCTGGTGAATTTTCTTCAGCTCTCAATCTTAATTTATCTAAATGTGAGTTACTTCCTATTAAAACTTGTCATGACACAGAGATCTCAGGAATTCCAGTAAAACACAAAGTTAAATATCTTGGTATTTATATCATAAAAGAAGAGGACCAAAGATTAAGTGAAAACTTCAATCCCCTTGTTACGGTTATCCAAAAGAAATTAAATTTATGGGTCCAGAGAGATTCATCCATCTCCGGTCGAGTCTTACTCTCCGAGGCTGAAGGTCTTTCCAGTTTGGCGTCTGCGACTTCTGCCCTCGAGGTTTCCAAGGATACCATTTCAAAAGTGGACAAAACTATTTGATTTTATTTGGAAGAAGAAAGTTCATCTAATCCGGAAAAATGTAATGATAAATAATCTGTGCTCTGGTGGGTTTAATGTACTAGACTCTAAACTCTTCCTTTAAAATCAAGTGGATCAAAAGAGATCTCCTAAATCCAAACTCTTTATGGAACTTTATTTCGACACGTATTTGAAGCAGTGGGTGGTTTATCTTTTATTTTAAGGTGCAACTATAGCATGGAGAAAATCCCGGTCAAACTCTCCAATTTCCACAAACGGCTGCTTTTATGTTGGACTTTGGTTCACAAACACAATTTCTCCCCACACAAATATTTTACCTGGAACAACAAAGACATGTTTTAATCACAAATCCATGTTTTTCAAAAAATGGTTTGACAGAGCATCGTTCGTGTACATCAACTATTGAACAAAGAGGCAACACTTACTCTTATAGTGAATTTTTAACTACGTATAATTTTCCGGTGCTGCCGAGAGAATTTGTAATTGTGTTTGACGCCGTTCCATCTGGTGTGAAAACACTGACGTCAAACTCTGAACAAAATAACACAAACTATTTAAATCTGTACAAAATAACACAAACTATTTAAATGAAGAATCGTTCATCGGCAACTCTGACCCATTTTGAAGCGAAAAAACAAACAAATGTATTAGAGAATTAATAATTAGAGACTGTATTAGTAAACCTGCTTCTGTATTCTTCTGGGATAATTCATTTAATATTTGTTGGAAAAATGTTTGGTTGCTGCCTAGAAAATATTTCATAACAAATAAGATTCGAGAAGTGTCTCTAAAGATTCTGTATAAATGCTGTCCTGTCAATCGTATAATCTCTGAGTGCCGTCCGAATGTGGAGCCAGTGTTCACTGTGCCACAGCTCTGAGGAGACGACATCATCTGTTCTGGGACTGTCCTCACACTCAGCTGTTCTGGGACTGTCCTCA